GCAGGACAACCAGTGTCTCTGCCAGACAGAGGTTTGACTAGCCTTCCTAAAAACATTTAGAGATGGAGATTCCACCACCTCCTTGGACACCTTGTATCTTGAGGAATGTAAAACAGCTTCAGATGTCAACCATTACATAATTACACTGGAAATGTTTATGAAGGGAGATTTGTCCAAGTAGCTGAGATACCACCATTTATTGCTGATGTCAAAGTTTTGGCCTGATAGAAACTATTCTCTCCTTCCCACAGAAATGAAATAAATACAAATCAAACCACATTGTAATGCCCAGCATGATTGGCATGCTGCTAATCAGTGTCCTTCCAGTTTTAACATGATGATTGTTAGGCTTACTTCTCTGATTCTTAATGAGATAGCAAGTTTTGCTTCTTTCTTTCCTGAATTTCTTTGTCTTATTTTTAGCTTACTCTTTTCCTTTACATGATGAAATCCTTTTAAGCAGTGAAGGAACTTGCTTTTCATACTACTGTTTTGCCTTCTGAAACACACGTAAAGCTACATTTTTGAACAGTAATGTTTTCTTTGTCCTAGCTATGACAGGAAAACATCACTGTTCACAGTGTTTGATGCCTGTACTTCTTCTGTTCCATTTTATTTATTTTGCATTTAATTCATGTCTATAGTAACTATGGACAGTTTTTCCTGTTGTTTTCTGTTTCCCTGTTGTTTCTTGTTGTTCTTGACTCCCCATTCCTTTGGGAATTTTACATGAGTCCTAGTACTGAACAGACCTGCTCACTTTTTTATTGCATTGCCATAAGCAGCCTATGGCAGAAATGCTCTAAAGGTCTCCTGACAGATGGAGACTACAGTTGTCTTAGCAAAAACATGTGTGTGTGGCTTGTACATAGATAATCCTCGACCCAGATTTTACTCTTCTGTCTTCTGCTGTCCACTGACTGCTGCCTTGAAAATCCCTCCTGTTTACATGCTACTTCAATAACTTAACTTTTCAACTGGTCAAGAATATCCATCACAAAAACCCTATACCTAATCAAACACATCTACCTGCATTAAAGCCCACTGTAATCTTTATATGCAAAAGCTTTATGCAGTCTTTATGATCTTCTGAAAAGTAGCTGATAGAAGAAGGAAAAGTTTTTTCTACTTGAGCATTCTCCTCCTTGTCAAGCTTACACTAGTGTACTGCTTTGCAACATTCCTAGAGCAAACATTATTGTGTAAATTTCACCTATCAAGATTAGACATAGGAAATAATTCCTGGAGAAACTGGGATAATGCTGGGGTCAGTGGGGAAAAGGATGTGAGGGAGCTGGAGCGACCTTGAGACAGAAGTCAAAAAAAGCGTGACCTCAAATCCATCGAGGGGTGCAACAAAGTTACTCGCTGTGATTGCCTGTATTTCCTTGGTAATATCACAGACAAAGCAGTAGTCGAGGTGCTCAAGGTGAAATTAATGTCAAGTTCAGGGAAGAAAACTGGTAAAGAAAGCAGAGACCCAGATGCTCAGTTTCTACAGAAGGGAGGCAGAAAGGAGGTCCTGTAACCTGCGTGGGAGACTTTTCCTTCCAGTGAGGGATACAGCACCAGCAGGGAGGGAGCACAGTCGTGGACTCTAAACATTTCACCTGTGGGTCAAGTCTAGTCTCAGCAGTTGAGAAACACTGCTCTAGAGGTTTTTAGTTCCCTTAAATACTCATTTCCCAGGACTGGCATTCCAACCAGCTAGTCTGTCTAATCCCCTTCAAAATCCATGCTGTTTTTGCCTTTAGCAATAGCAGATGCCAGAGACAGCAGTCTGGACAGAAGAAATGAAACATTCTTTCTTAATTTTGCTTCCGCCTGCATTTTCAATCCCATATAAAAAATACAAAATATATGAGACAAGAGCTGCCATTTCCCTCAAAAAGACTTACTATTTAGTATTTAAATTCTAGCAATGATTTTGCTTGTATACAAAGAGCATTCTCTATTCCAGATGAAGTGTTTAGTTTAAAAGTCATTCTGTGTCTTTAGATTGCCAGACATTAACAGAGGCATTTTTACCATTTTCCAGGGACTGGATCCTGCAACTCCAAGGCTGCAGTCTTGCAGTGCTCTCTTACACCCCTGCAAGGTCAGATCCATGCTGTCACCCCATAGGCCTTAGGAGCTGCCATCTTCTCTCATCTGCAGTCCTGAAGCAAACTGAATCTTAATGAATCAATGCAGAAATTATTAATGGGTCTTAGAAAGCATCCTTCTAGTGACTCTTGGAAGCTTGCAAAGTGAGGAACACAAAGGAGAAACAAAATCCTCTGCAAAGCATAACAGGCCAGTGAAGAGCATCTTTTAAAGGAATTATGGCTAATAACAAATTCCCACCTTTCCCCTATACTCAGAACAATCAAAATTCTTGTTTTAGAACATTTTTGCGGAGAAATATCTGCAAAAGTCTAAGGATTTGAAAACCATGCTGATCTATTGCATTTGGCAAAAAGTAACTACACTTTGTTGTAGTAAAAATGGTCCCCTTTTTCTCTCTGTTGTTCATGATCAGACCATAAGCTAATTCACTGCTTCAGAATGTCCACATGCCAAATTAAAAGTTGGACTCTTCCCTCCTGCCCAGGCAATGCATACTCTTCTTTTGATCATAAGAGTTCAGACTGTCTTACTTCACCAGTCCTACAGTTTCTCACAAGGTATTTCAAGGCCCAATTCTTGCACTCTGCAGCAAACCCTTTTGATGTTCTAAGTTATCTCTCGTTTGGCTCCTTTTAAGCAGGTACTTGTATTTACAGCATAGGTCTCGGCGAACCTTTACCTTTCTTCTCCCACAGCTGACCTTACACTCATTCTCTGTCAGCCTGATGTGTTGTATCCTTGCTGGGACTGCTCTCTCCTCCTTCACAGTGACACCTACAATGACTGAGTCATGGTAACACATGTACTCATATTTACTATATAAAGATAAACAGGGACCTGTCCAAATGCAGTTACTTCTGCAGCACGACCGTCTTATTGCAGTCTCGTGGTGCTGTGACACACCCTCGTGTTTTCAGATCCACTGGAGGTGGTGTGTATTCCTTGGGGTAGGGAATATGCAATTCATTCCACCTTGCATGGAGCCTTGCAAACTTGGGCATTAGTAATCAATAGTATCAACTGGTGGTCTGTGTTGCTGCAGACAGCTGCCACCTCCACCCAGGCTGAGGCTGAGGGGCACGGGGCTCCCGATGGATGGTTCTGGCTGCCGGGCGGCCTGGGCGGGCAGTCCCGAGGGGTGAGCTCCAGGCAGTCCGCCGAGGCTGCCCTCGCCCCGCGGCGCTGCACAGCCCTGCCCTGCGCACCGCCGGGCACCCACGGTGGCTGCTCCGTTCTGGGCACACTCCACCAGCGTGATACATTACATCCATATGGGAGGTAGGGAAGGAAAAAAGAGGAGAAAAATCCCCAACGAGGAACTAGGCAGAAGCACTTGTTCCGCTCGCTACTACTTCCCGGCCAGGACTGGCCTTACGGGGCCGAGGCGGCGCCCGAGCCTCGCCGGCAGCACTGGCCGTCGCGCCCGGGGGAGGTGACCCCGGAGCCCCCTCGCCCCAGGCGAGAGCCGCGGGGAACCCGAGGGAGCCGCACCGCGCCTCGGCCGCCGCGGGTCGGGCTGTGCCGAACAAGCCCGGTGAGCCGAGGCCGGACTCGAGCCGAGCCGAGCCGAGCCGAGCCCGCCGTCAGTCAGCGGCGGGGCGGGGCGGGGCGGGGCGGGGCGGCCGGGCGGGTTGGCGGAGTGGCCGGGGCGGGGCGGGGGCAGAGCCGGCGGCGGGCAGGGCGCCGCGGAGGCACTGCGGAGGGTAGTGCAGCCGGGGCAGAGGGGCCGGGGCCGCGCCGCGCCGGGACAGGACGGGCGGAGGGCGGGGTGGCGCGGCTGCTGCTGCTGTTGCTGCTGCTGCTGCTGCTGCTGCTACCGCTACCCGGCGAGGCACGGAGTAGGTGACGGCGCCGGTGCCGCTGCTGCCGCTGCTGAGGTAAAGCGAGCCGTGCTGCATCCGCCGCAGAGAGCGCTGCCCCGCAGGCGGCTGCTGGGGCAGGGGAGCGTAGCGGGGTTGGGGGTGGGGCTGGGCTGTGCGGGGCTACCCCTCTGCGGACCCGGGCTCCGGCCAGTGACAACTCGAGCGGCGGTGCCGCCGCCGCCCCATGTAACTTTTTCTTTCGTGCGAGGCGGGCTGTGGCGCCGCCGAGGCCGCCGGCGCGGCAGGCTCGGGCGGGCTGCCCGCTGCGGCCGAGACCGAGCCCCAGGGACAGTGCAGCCTCTCGGCCCGGGGGCGGCCAAACCCGGCTCTTCCTGGGCGGGCAGGGCGGGCGACGTGCTGTGCCGGGCTGTTCCATGCCGTGCCGTGCTGTGCTGTGCCGGGCTGTTCCGTGCCGTGCCGTGCCGTGCTGGGTTGGGCTGTTCCGTACCCTGCTGTGCCGTGCTGCGCCGCTGGCAGCTCCGGCCCCGCGGTCGGCGCGGGGAGGCGGGCGGGTGTACCCGCCGGGCTGTGTCCGTGCAGGTCCCCGGGCCGGGAGCGGCGTCCTGCCCGCCCGTGCTCCCGTCTCCACCGGCTCGGCGGAGCCCCTGGAGGGGCTACTCCCCTCGAGCTCCGGCCCAGGGCGAGCGGCTGCTCTGCTTCTGGAGCTGCATGTCAGTGCAGGTCTCCGGAGTGGTTAACCTGCCGGCCTCTTAAACACGGTGGAAGCTCAAATTCTGCCGTTTTCTTAGTTTTTTTAATTATCTTTATTATTTTATTGATTCTGCTAGAGTGGTCTTGATGCTCACCTGCCGTCTTTCATAGTTTTGCATCCCTTAGAAACTCTGAGATATTTCAGAATGGGATGTGCTTTACAGTGTCCACAGTACTTATTCCGTGTGTACATATTTGAACTTGAGCGGCGGTAGAATCTCCAGAGACTCAAAATAATTATTTCAAAGACTGGAAGTGGTATAAGGGTATTACTTCATGATACATCACGGACCTCATTTTCTTGCAGCAAATAGTGTTCCGATGTGGTACTTAACTTGGTTGTCTCCATTTGGAGAGTGGCAGCATCATACTTCAGAGATAACTGCAGTGTGAGTCACAGGTGTGTAAACACCTAGTGGGGAGAAGAGTCAGTCTCCAAGCAAAGTTCCCCGCTTACCCTAAGAGGTATATAAGAGATATAACTTACTAAGAGATATAGTTATTAAATATGTTAATATAAAGGTGAAGAAAATTTTTGTGTCCTGTCTTGTAGGGATGCCATATCAGTAACACATGCACACCCCTCTGTTTGGGCTGGTACTAACACGGAAATGCAGAGTAGAAGTTCATATACTCAGTAACCAAAAGAACGCTAGCTTGTGTGGGAGGAAATGCTTGGGTACCAGTGGAGTGGGAGCCAGACATCATTTTTAACAGGGGAAGAAGGGGAGAGTGGAGAGGAAGTTTTCATGTCACCTTCCTTTTCCATGTAAATTTGCAGGAGTGTCTTGTATGTTTCTGTTGAATTTTAAATTTTATAACTATTAAAATGCCCAAGATAAACAATTCTGCTAAGAGACAAGAATTCTGTCTGAACTCAGGAATCTTTCAGTGGGAACAAGTGGGAACAGTAAATAAAAGACAAATGAGCACTTGATTGTTTTACAATACTTCTTCCCCCTTTTCCATTCCAACAACCAAAATGGAAATCCAGTAATTCATCATCTCAAATATAACAATGTTTCTTCCCTGAAGTGTTTGTTTTGGTTTTTTTTTAATCTACTTAAGATGGTCTTCAAGCTATTTATTTTAGGACTAGTCAACTTAAGTCAATTTGACTATAGAAGCCATGTAACTTGGAGTAAAGGGAATTTGTTTATACCAGATCTTAGTAGAGCTTTCTGAGAGGGCTCTTTGCATATGCTACAGTATTACTGAGCTGGTGTGGAAAACCGTTCTTTGTCCCTTTGCTAGGTCTGTGTGCAAGGTTCTTGAGTCTGCCAGTCTGAGTTTTAGTTTGTCCCTCAACCCAGTAACAATAGAAAAAGGGATAAACTCAAGAAATTCAACCCTGGGAGTGTCTCCAGGTACAGGAATCATAGATCAATCAGGAGGTCAGATGCTGGGAGCCCTGTACCGAGGGCAGTGCTGATGAGTGAGTATGAACAGGTACTGGAACTCTGAGCCCTAGGGAAACTGGATTTGAGGAAACTTTGCAAACATAACTGCATTGAGTTTTTCTAATGAGATGCATGTTTTGAGTTTTTGAAATATGCCTTAAAACTGTCATAAGCAGTTTTTATGTTATTACAGCATTTACAGTTCTGTATCTTCAGATGATGCATAAGAAACACAAGGACTCATTTTAAATATATGGCCATAAAGTTGCTATGATACATTTGATAATAAAAGATCAGAGGAGTAGGTCAAGTCGGTTAAATTATGCAGTGTTTAAAAGACTTAATTGACTGCCAAAATGCCCGTAGGCAGTAGGACTTAAATAAGTAGTTGTAGCAGAGCATTTGTTGAACCTTTCTTAAAAAGAAAATAAATATTTCAGAATATTTAAAGTAGTCAAAGTGGTAATTTTCTAGCAAGTTTTGCTGTGTACATGGTTGGTTTTGATTGGAAACATTTTTATTCGTTCCAACACTTAGATCTGAAGTGTGTAAGTGCATTTTGTTGCCTTGCTACATGAAGTGGAAGAAACCCATGCTTTTGTAAAGGCTTATTTACTATTTAATTGATACATTGACATTTGTGCTGTTTCCTCAGTTCTTGTCAGCAGGCTTTTCTCTGGTAGGAGAGGAAAACAAAATATTAGTGAAACTCCATTCACGTTAATTGCAAAGTCTGTGATGTTTGGTAGCATGAGCTAAGTAGCATAGTTGGTTTTTCAGAAGTGGGTGCAGAAATTTCTAATTAAAATTTTGATGGGAGCTGGATACCTAATGCACATGGATAGATTTGCAAGTTATTAAAATAAATACTTGTGTGCAGGCTTTCTGAAATGGGAAGTCTAATTCAGGCTCAGATAACTCTTTCCTGCAAAAACTGGTTGCAAGGGATGATAAGGAAGTTCTTCAAGAATTTAACAAGATTCTTTTTCTGTGTTCTGTCACAAGAGATGCTGAGCAACATACTGCAGGGACCTGATGAACTGAAGAGGAGCCACATACAAATTAGGGATCAGGTTCATTTACTGGCAAAGGAAGCCCATATACATTCTTTTAAACACTTCTTAGCTTGTCAGTTAGTCATTGCAAAGGACTTGATGACTGAGACAGAAAAAGTGGTGTGGAAAAGAGCTGTCGGATGTTCCCTCTTCCAGCCCTGTCTACTGGTGTCTCTTTACAAGGTAAAAGGGAGTGTTTCATAAAAAAAAAAAAACAGCTTTCTGTACACTCAGTATGTAGTACAAAGTCAGTATTTTACCTGCTGGTATTACACAGCTCCCTTGGGTATTTTATTCAGATGTAGTTTAGGAGTTTCTGTGCAACTTTAAAGAGTTAGCTCTTTCTGGTTTCCAGTATAATGTTTCAAAGTATGATTGGGCTTGTCTTTTTAAGTAGATAAAAATGAGTAACAGTTGAAATAACATATAGAAAGCTTTCACTGTTCTATATGTCTTAAAGCAATTGTTTGCCAAATAGATTTGGGTTTTAGTAATATGTTTTCATTTTATTTTATGGTTGGGCAACCTTGAGCCAAATGTTCAGGCCTGTGTTCTCTTGCCTTTAGTGTAATTTAAGCATACTCCTTTGGGAGTTTGGGCTGCTTAGGTGGTCTGGGTGTGCCTGTTTCAGTTGCTGATTGTTTTTCTAGTATTATACCATAAACTCATTAAAAATCATCTGAAAGATGGGGGAGTGGGGAACCCCCTGATTGGGGAAAAAAAAAAAAAGGTAATATGGTAGTCATCAAGTAAAAGCATTTTGGCATTTTGGACTTTTCAGTTCTTTTACAGATTATGAAAAGACCCCTTCTTCCAAAGGATTTTAAAATATATTCTTTGGGATGGGAATTGTTGCCCATCCTTACCCTTGTCATAAACAGGCCGAAATTGAATACACCAGTGGTGAGTGCTAATTACTATGAGCTCCTCCACTGTCCTGGCAGACCCTTTGTGGAAAAGGGCTGTAGCTGTCTGTGTACAGGGGGATAATATATAAAATCTTGCAAAGAGGTTAGATATTGCACTGCAGGGATAGCTACAGGGCTTATTAGCCCTCTCACCCTGAGACTTCAGTAGCTGTAAGTGACAGAGGAGTGCAGGGGTGCAAATCTGGTTCGAGTACTTTGACATCCTTTATAAAAATGCAGACATTACCTGGAGGTTTTTTTGTGAGGTTACTTTATTTTATTGTTACATAGGACTCTTTTGTGGTACACAGTCTTTGCCAGGGTTGCAGTAACCTTAAGTCATAAGTAGAATCCCAAGTTCACATTCATCAAGACAATCTGAAGTGGTTTCATCAGTTTTCTCTTCTCTTTCCAGGAAAAGCATGTATGCAGAGTTTGGTGGCAGAATTTTTAAGGTACATGGGCAGTCTGTGGCAAATACTTCTGAAGAAGGTGTGACTGTCTACAAGAGTCGGCTGAGCTTGTGCATGGAGACACAGAAGTGCCAGCAAGCCCAGGAAAGGAACTAATTGGAAGAAAATTGCCACGCATAGAGAAAGTGGAACACTTACTTCAGCAACAGTGACTTAGAATAAATACATCAGTAAATACATCAGCAGTGAAATGATAAATCTTGGTGCTTCTTGATTCTCTGGTGGATTTTATTACTTAAGAGACATTTTCATTATCCCATTTAATAAGTCTTGAATTTCTCTATACATTAAAATATAACTGGAAAATCACGTTTTGATACCTTTCAATAACACTTTTGAATGTTAAATCGTTTGCCAAGATGAGTGCTGAGGGATATCAATATAGAGCTTTATATGACTACAGAAAAGAGCGAGAAGAAGACATTGACTTGCACTTGGGAGATATATTAACTGTGAATAAAGGTACCTTACTAGCACTTGGATTTAGTGAAGGGGAAGAAGCAAAGCCTGAGGAAATTGGTTGGTTAAATGGCTTTAATGAAACCACAGGGGAGAGGGGAGATTTCCCAGGAACTTATGTAGAGTACATTGGAAGAAAAAAAATATCTCCCCCAACTCCAAAGCCTCGTCCTCCTCGACCTCTTCCAGTAGCACCAGGTCCTGCAAAAGGAGAAGCAGAGACTGAGCAACAAGGTTAGTACTGTTCTAAGATGTGTGTGTCTGCCATGGTTTCATATATTTTTGTTTCATAGACTTGTCTGACTGTACATGGATGTGTATTAATGCCTGCTGGTCAGCTTTTTTTAGTGCATGGCTCATTTCAGTCAATTAAGAATTGTTTCTACTTAGTAATATTTAGCTCACATTCTTCGTAGTTTCATGTACTTTGTCTCAGGCACCACAGAAACCGATAACTTACTGTGAGGTATATCTCACAGGTTGGAAAGTATGCTTGTAATTCACCACTGCAAAGATTGAAAAGGAAGATGAACTGGTTAGCATTTATTTTATGTTTATAAGAAACTGGTCAAAGTGTTTCCTTTTGTGGTTCATCAGACTCACTATTGAGAAAGTTCTCAGTGATTCCAACAGTATACGTTCTAAATAAACAGTACGTTCCTATCACAGATCTCTTGCTAACAGCAAAAAATGCATTCTTTACCTGTGGCATTGAAGGTATGAACCCATATTTAAAATTCAACAATGAAATTATAAAAAGGAGAAATTAAAATTTAACATTTTTTGGAGGTATGGCATGCAGTGGAAAAATACCACTTATATAAGAAAGGAAGATGCTTCCTTTGTTTAATCTAAGCTCCTTTCTAACCTACATTTGCAACAGTATGTTAGGCAGAACTCAGAACTTGATCAGAAGTCTTCTGTTAATAGAAGAAAAAAGTCTCCTCTTTTGTAATTGTCAAAACTTTAGGGTAAAAAATCAAAACAAACCCACCCTTTTTTCAGGTGATTTTGTCTCCTTTACCTGTTGACATTCAGATAGTTGGATTTTACTTATCAGCACATATCCCAGATCTCTCTTAGGATAGACTTTATTCTTTCACTTTTAAAAAAGACTTGAGTGGCTTATATTGCTTCAACTTCTAATATTTCTTAAATTCTCAGTGTTTCTATCTGCAGGAAACAAGAGTTGTAGTATTTGATCCTGATTTTCAGAGTGACACCGTAGTAATGGCAAGTATCATCTCCCTCTGCCTCCATAGAACTGTTTGTAGCATCAATTGCAAAACTGTAGTATCAGTTTATTAACTTCCATCCCAGTGTGCATACTCTAAGTTTATATTCAGCTATGCTGATAATCAGCACAAATAAGAACAGAAATATAGAAAATTTTATGTGGCAACCAAGTGGAAAGCTTGCAGAAGCATTTGTAGGTTGGTGGGGACTTAATAAAGAGTGAAGCTGAACTGGTTTATATAACAATATTCTTAAGCACTAACACACTGCTTGCAAGCCTGCAGTGCCTAGGTGTATATCAACTAGGATGAAGGTGAGGGCAGATGAGGCTGTAGTGACATTTTAGGTTATACTCTCCCCATGTCTTAAAGCCTTGAACTCTCAGCCTCTAATTATTAGAGTCTCATGGCTTCTCTCTCATTAGATTAGTTCTGAAGATGGGCTATTTGCTTTTGAAAGAAAGAAACTGTTATTTCTTTGATCATTTCTTGTATTGGATATTAATCTGTGCTGATCAGGTTAACACTGACTCTTCTTAACCCACCTGTGGAGATAACTGTTGCCATCATATGCAACTGCAGAATAAATATGGTTCTTTGGATAGACACCTCAATGCTGATAGGTTATTTTGAGCAGCAGAGAATGGAAAGAAAATCTCATTCTTTGCATGTGCGTGCTGTGGTGAAGTAACCGGCGTCCCAGGCTTTGATGGGTTTATTGCTTTAAAAAGTGGTGCTTTGTAACTTCCTTGGTTTCTGTACTCATTTTTCTTGATGCTTCTGGTCACAGATCCATGCTGTTAATGTTGTCATGTTAATGTTGTCGTTTCCAAGCCTACCCCAGGACTGTGCTTGTAATAGACATTTATGGGAGTTTCAGGGGCTGGGAGTTTCCTTGGGAAATTCTGCTGCAGGTTTGGGGGGCTCCGCTTATATGCAGGCTTCTCTACTTCCTTGGGATGAAGCAGTGCCCCAAGCCTTAGTGACTAGATCTCTCCTGTGTGAAGTTTATTGCCTTTAGACAGAGTAATACTTACATAGAATATGTTTATTTTTAATACCGTGGAACTGTGGGAATTGGAAACAAGAAAATATTCTACTTTAACTAGGGATCTTCATCTCAAAAATCTGCACACATAATCCTGCCGTGCTCCAAAATGTTTAAGAATCAGTTTGCAATCCAACCTTGGGATTTTTCTGATTAAAAAAAAAAAAAGTTAAAGTTCCCATAACTCCTTTGAGTTAATGATTTTAAACTTCATGTAAGGGTCTAGGCACCTTCATAATGCCCTAAGATGAGGGATTAGACCTCCTGAACAGAATTAGGATAAACACTGAAATTTGAACTCCAAGTAGTTCGAAGACCTATTTACAGTTCAGGTTTAATCACTTTTAAAATAATGTATGTTTTCTTAAAAGAAATAGGGAAAAGTTATGGTAAGCAGTCTCTTTACAGATCTTTTTGCTGTAAGGCAGCAGTGTGCTTTTGTAAGGCAGTAGTGTAAGGCAGAGAGTGCTTTGAATCCTAGAAGCAAATTTGGGAAAGAGTATTATAAAAACAAAAGGAAGGTGACATTAGCAGAATGCCACCAAAATTATGATGAAACCAGAGGTGCTCACAGAAATACAGTTCAGATAAAGAATAATGTAGCAACGTATGTTTAACTTCCAGGTGGCTTCACTATTTTTGTCTATTTTTGGGGCAGGGAATAGCACAATTAATATTGTCCAGCAGCCAATGTCGTGGGCCAAATGTAATTGGCAGTGAGCCAAAAGATTTTTCCCAGGATGATAGCTCTCTCTACACCCTTATCGTGTATTTCAAATAAATTAACGTGTAGTATGATACTTGCTTGACTAAATGCACTCAAGTTTACATTTTCACTACTTGATTAATTGAAACTGCAGTGGATTAAAATGACAAGTTAATGATGAACTGGAAGCAGACTTCTTAAATGTACCTCATTATTTGTAATCAATATACTTCAATTTTTTGAAGAAAACACTTTCTAATATTTTCAATACTTTTTAATATTTTTTTCTCCATGCCTTTCTAAACTTGATCAATTTCTCTTCAATGTCTTTTGTTTCATATTAGATCCGATTTGCAGTATTCAGGCACAATGATGCCAGTATTCACAATGGTGGGCTACTCATACAGAAATAATCATAGACATCTGAACAGACTTTGCAGTCAATGAGGCTAGTAACGTGGACAGAGCTGCTCATCAGGCCTATGTCTTAGGCAATCAGTCTTACTCATAAATAGTAATATTTATATTAGAATATAATACTTCGTAAATATTAAAAGCCAATCTGAAAGCAAGAAAAACCCCTGCTGGTGGTCTCAAATTACATTAAAACATCTAAGTCAAATCTTTCACCATCTTTTTATTTTATTCATGACCCATTTAAATTTCTAGAACCGCTGGTTAAGACAATAATTGGCATTCCCTGACTGAAATTTTAGGACTGTTGCTTTTTTTTTTTTAAATTGCGTATAAAAAGATATGAAAATAAAGGAGGTACAAAAGCCCTAAGAAGTCTCTAGCACTTTTAATTTTCAGGCCTGGTGCATGTCAGAGCTGTGGGAAGGCAGATTTAATTTCTCTTGCTGGTGTGAGGCTCTAACTGGCCCAGTGTGCCTTCTCCCCAGATTTCCTTTCCCACCAGGCAAAGGTGCCTGGTTGCTGATGGAGGGATCAAACCACTTGCAACAGTGGAGACACATCACAGGGTCATCTTTATTCCTTCCACTAGACATGTAAGTTTATGAAGTAAAGAAGTAATACTAGATGAAGTGGTAAAGGTTTTACATGATTTTTCCCCCCACTGAAATTCTTTTGTTTTGTTTTTATTTGAAGCTGCGTTCGGCTAGTTCCTCTCACTTAGCCTGGTTTTAATCAGCTCTGAGCTATGCTCAGAGCATAAGCTGTACAAAGTCCAGATATGTTTTGTGAACTTTGATTCATCTCATCTGATAGTGTTGCATACGTTTAGAGTTGATTGATACGGTGCCATTTCTCTACCTGGTTTGGGAAGGCTGATATTAAGCAGACTTTGGAGCACAAAGCTTTGCTTGATGAACAGAAATACTTTCAGATTTAACTTGGAGTGCTAAATTCTTGAAATGAAGATGTTTTGAAATGAAGATCAGATTGCAGAAGGGCACACCAGGACTTTTAATGAATAATTTGTCCATTTTGATGTTTTGGAGCTTCCTACAACTTCCTTTATAACTTAAAAGGGTTGTTTATGTTGACAACCATTTCAGCTGATTTTGAGCCTAAAAATAATCTGAAACTCTTCCATCTTGTGGTGAAACTATAAAATAGATTTATAATTTTTTAAATAGAAAATACCCAAAGTTTTTTTCACTTTTCTCCTAGTGCAGATACAAATCAGCAAATCAGACAAAGATAATGTACACAGAACATTTGGAAACTCTTTCCCTTCAGCAACCAGGTTATGCAATGTCTGAGAAAGATCCAAACCAATGGAGAGCATAAAACCGTTTGTGCATGCTTTAACTGAATGTGTTGTAGGATTTGTTCCTTTAATTTTGCTATAAAGCCAGTGAAGCAATTACATTTGTAAATATTATTTACATTTGTGTATTGGGGGACATAAGAGTGAGTGGAATGCAGCAAACCTGCTGGGAAGAAAATAGTCATCCTCTCTCCTGATTTGGGCAAATGGAAAAGGGAAATTATGGGATGAAGTGATGAGTCACTGTCTTGTGGCAAATACAAACAGTATACATATATGCAATTTAAGCCAGAGTCCTTGAATTCATCCTTTTTTGAAATAAGTCTTTGCCCCGCTGCAGTTGTCAGAACTGCCTTGCAGTCATGAATTTTCACATCAGTTGATTTAGACTTGCACTGAGAAATGCAAGTCTAAATGAGTCTGAGAAATAGGGCAAGTTCCTGTCATGGACTTGTGGTCATATCTGTAGGCAAATTTCTAGCTGCCAGATGAGCGCATGCATCTGAAAAC